GTATTCGCCTGTATCGCCAACTCAACACTGACTGGGTCACGGTCTATACCGGCCTTATATAGGGCCTAAGATAATTTCCAGAACCTTTCACTATAGAAACATCTAAAATGTTTGAGTACATACCGGTCCCGACTGACTAGGTGACGATAGTTCTAGAAAGTTCTTCCATGGAAAATTCTAGAAGGATTTTGGCTCTCCTAGTTCTGCTACTTGAAACTAGACGGTAGTAGGACGCTAGTGGTAACTAGTGTTGCCATGTACCAGGCATTAATGGTGGCGCTCAACATTATTCTCCGCTTGCAAACCTCATATGCCACCGTTGTACAACGTTGATTGACAGACGAGGTACTAATGATCGAAAATTCTTCTGGGTGGTGGCAACGTTACCGACGACGGCTTTGCGTTGTAAGAATGGTAAGTAATCCAAGTAACACAAACCCTCTCGTATTATTGGCAAGCAGACGTTTTGGCGAAATGTTTTATGGTTTAGAATATTTTTAATAAATAGTCTGTCGTTGTACTTTTAATAAATGAGAATTTTCCGCAGTCTGTCTTTTGCCAGATTACTATAATGGTGTCTGCAAAAGTGAAAATGCTTTTGTTACACTGACACAGTGTGATTTACCAATTTTTTTTTATAGAATAGGGTGACAAACGAGCACACAGTCCACCTGATGGTAAGTGGCTGCTGTGGCCCATAGACATCTACATTTATCCTCGTTTGTGAATCAAAATGCAGATGCGTTGTCACCCGTGAGGACTAAGATGGAATGCCTCTTTTCCAGTAAAAAGGGTCTCCGGTTCTCTACACTCACCATACGAAACACAGCAGCATTAAGCTACTATTTTACGCTGGTTTTCTGTGAGAGCGTGGTCCTTCCCCGGTCGAGCCGACCCATTCGTGCTACAACCATACTACTAATATAGCTGCAGCATGGCTCTACCACGTGTAAATTTTGTTATTATATAAATAATAGAGTTTATAATTACCAAGTAGTAGGATTGTAGTCAAGCGTTGGTTTATAGTAAAAACAAGTTATTACGGTAAAACTATAAACATTTTGATGTATATCCAAGATCGTTTCGGTCTATTCAGCAATATGGTCCTAATTTAATAAAAATCATCTGTTATCTGTTTATTTTTTCCGTAAGAACGACATATAATAGAGAAATACAGTTACTGGGCAAGCTTTTTCTGCCATAACGACATAAGTGATTCCCGAATGGCTTTTTTATTTATCACGCGAACACAGTACATTTAAAACATAATTTTATCATTTCGTTTTAAAAATCAATAATCAACACAATCAATTTTATATAGTTCACCAATTGATACACTGCTTTATTTTGCAAACACATGAAGTTCAATGTTTAAAACTGATCTCCTGTAAAATGACGATTTTTATGTTATATCTGTCTTGCAATAAGAGAGCGATATACACACGCACATATGTATAGAATTATATAAAAATGAAATAAGCAGGTGCAGAGCTAAAAGGTAGGAGCCTCATTAAGTTTAAGCACTGCCCTCGCACTGGGCGGGCGTCTGTTATTTCACCGCCCTACCTCAAATAAAAGCCAGATCTCAGTCGAAGCTCACGTCAGTTGCGCTAACTGTTGCATGCTGCCAACATCGGAGAAAAAACTAAGTGCTACTAACACTTAGAAAAGCAAATTTTAAATATTGCTAGTTCCTGACCTTACAGAATCAAGCCCACAATCCAAAAGGTAATTTAAATTGTAGTTGCATTCGTTACTTCTTTGATTTAAAGTTAAAAAATAATCATTTTTTCTGTACAAAATATTTTATTGTTTAATTAAAAGTGCTTTTATTATTATGTTAGTTAAAAAAACAGATTTTTGGAATTACGAGATTTATTGAAAATAATTTGACATTGTAGTTAGGTATAAATTATTTTGATAAATATTATAAACGTAAATCTGTTACATTACTTTCAGAATCATCGAATCTGGAGGGAAATAAAATGACACAAAAAATAAGCAAAAGCGATAGAGCGCCATCGCGACCATTTATAAAAGTTTCACTTCCGGTGGAAATGTAAGTAACCCTAGCTTTATATAACGGATCGTTTTCTTCTTCTTTCAATAGCAAAACTTTTATTCTAATTAAGGAGCATACAATAAAAAATGTATTGTTTCTCTCATCTATCGCGTTATAAATAAATATGTTATAATTATGAGAGCTTAATTTTCTTTTTTCCGAACCGAATGTATAAAGTATTTAATCTTTGTGCTTCGTTTTTTTTTTTAATCTTAATTCGTATATAATATTCGGTCAGTCTGTAAGTGATCATGTAACTTTTGATTAATTAGACCGATTATGGTCATATTTTTTACACATTTCTTTTTGTTAAGTCGATGGTTTATAACTAAACTAAGATTCGATAGGTCGCGCCGTAGTCAAGTTATTAACAAATTCTATGTAAATGAACCAAAATGACATATTTGCAATATACGTTGGCTTAATGCTAAAAAAGGTAATAACAGAATCTGGACCCGATAGGTAACGCTGTAGTAGTGTTATTGGTAAAATTTATATTAAGTCACTAACGGAAAGAGCCGAACAACATATTATGCCGGTTCAGCTACTTGTGTTATATTACTTGGAATATTCATTGCGATGTTGTGTTCAAACTTTAAACAATTTAAGAAATATAAGCAAAGTCATGTTCTTTTTTTTATATAGGCTAGTTTTTTTTTAAATATCCCGCTGTGTTTCTTGCTAGTTCTTCCAAGTACAGATTTTTTTCCGAACCACTGGTAAAGCTTAAAAGACTTCCAATAAGTATTTTTGTAATCTATATTGAATAAAAATGATTCTTTTTTATCATCCGACTTCAACAAAAGAGAAAGTTCTAAATTCGACTGTATTTTTTAATGTGCTTTTTTCTAGATAAACAGATTCTGATGATTCTTTTTTATTTCAAAACTGGTGCTTTTCATGTAGTCCCATATAAATTTGATCAAGATCTCACCTGTAGTTTTTGAGTTATCCTTAATAATGCGAATTTAATTGACTTCGAATACATTGATGATGTTCTCATTTTATTTATATTGAAGTCGGTTGTACAACATTTATAATTTTACCACTTGTTCTCTTCTATTCTAGACCACAATCCCTACAAACCCACTGGTAAGTGGTGATAAAACCCTAAACGGTTAATCCCACTGTCTTAGTGTAAGAAATTTATATAACAGATTTATATAATTCAATTGGTTTGTTCCTCTCTGTCGTCTGTTACGACAGCTACGGGAAGGTATGGGGTAGTGGATATTCTTGTAACGCCACTATTGCTGTGCGTAAAGGAACAATTTAAATTAGGATATTTAGTGTATTATTCTTAGCTAATCTACTTCAAAGTTTTGCTTGAACATCTTGTAGGTAAGTAAAAATACATGTTTTGACATAATCATTCTGAAATAATATCTTTTTAATATAGAAATTGAATTTTAATGCAAATTAAACTTTAATAGGTATATTGATATATAGTTTTTTTTTTTGGAGGGTAGGTGTGAAAAAGTTGACACGTTTTGATAAGAGCTCTTTAATTTTTAAAGTTATAAAATTAATTACACAGTATTATTTACAACATTTCAATAATATAATTAATAAATGTGACTTATAGTACCCACCGGACAGTATTTTCCTAGTAAAAGTCTCTAAAATTAACATCACTTCATAAACTTATTTTTTGGTTTATTTGCACTGTCACTACACATCACTATGGACTCAGTTAAAGAATCACTTAATGCTTTGGCAGAAATGTTCCAGCAGAAAATGAGTGAGTTTCAACAGGGCCTTGAAAGTACACCAACATCTAACACAACCCTGGGAACGGAGTTCAACAGTTTCAGAAGCTTTGTGCTCTCTGCAATGAACACCCTACAGAGACAGGTTGAATTCCTTAGCACTGAGCTTGATCGTCAGGAGATGCGTAGAAGGCGCAAAATGCTATTGTTCCATGGAGTCAGCGAGCAGAAAACAGAAGATACTGCTGCGCAGGTCTGTAACATTGTGGGTGAACATCTTGGTGTGTCTGCCTTTTCTGCAGCTTGCATTAAAACTTCTCACCGCATGGGACGTCCTTCTGGCAAGAAACCAAGGCCAATATTGGTGAAGTTTACAGACACTGTAATGCATGACAAGGTTTGGTTCTCTAAAACTGGATTAAAAGGCAGCGGCATTACTCTGTCAGTTTTTAACAAAGAGCCGTCATGGCTTGTTTATGGAAGCAAGGCAGCGATTCGGTATCAGTAAGTGCTGGACTAGAGACGGCTTTATTCATATCATAGCCCCTGATGGTTCGCGTCATCGAGCTGAGTGTAAGGCTGATTTGGATGGCATACCTCAGTTGTCATCTAAGCCTCTGACTCAAGGCACTGCTAGTCTTACTTCGAGGTCCAAAAGAACAGTAAAGACTAAGTAAACGATGCATTTAATATTCTTTTCCTATACATAATTTTACTTTATCTTTGTTTATATTACATTAGTTAGAATATACATTGTAAACACAAATTTACATTCATCTTCCTCTTTATTTGTATACTAACGATTTGTCATAGCTTTACAAACTTTACGGTTTGTTTTTATATAACAATTTAACTATTTAACCCTCATTTTTATTTTTAAAAGATTGCTTTGAAACTAGTAGATAAGTAGTTCGTTTTGTTTATCTTTATGACAGCAGTACTGTTTGAAATCTAGCCTCAGACAAAATATCTGCTGTGGCTAAAAGGGTTTTTGCGTAGTATAAAACCCTGTTGTTCATAATATTTTATTTCTGTTTCTTTTTGTGAATTTTTAAGTATATAAATAAGTATTTTGTGTGTTTATAGTTACAATAATTTTTGTTTTTCTTCTGTGAATGCTATTAATTTTTCTTCTATGAAGTGAATCTTTCCTTGCAACTGGCGGGTGGGTTTGTAAACCATTTTTTTCTTATATTTATTATTTATATTATATTTATAGATTGATATCTATGAGTTTCAATAATGATAATTTAGACGACAGCTTTTTTTCCCTCAGTGATTCAGATGGATTGAGCAGTAATGATAGTTATCACAGCATCCCTTCTTTAAGTGAAATTCTTGATTCTCATTTCTCAGATACTCTGAAAAACTTTAATGTTGTGCATATAAATGCCCAGAGTATTCCTGCACATTATCCTGACATGTTGTCCTCATTTTATAACGAAAATATACATGCGATATTAGTTTCTGAATCTTGGCTAGAACCATGTTTGCCTTCAACATCTTACTCTCTTCCCGGATTCCACTTGATTCGCAACGATCGCCTTGGGTGCGCTGGCGGTGGCGTGGCGATTTATTTAAGATCACACATTCCTTACACAGTTTTAAATACTTCGCAGCCATTGTCTAGTGCCGGCCCTGAACACCTATTCATCGAAATATTATTTGGACATTTAAAGCTTCTTCTCGGTGTCTTTTATAGTCCAAATGTTACAATTGATTATTTTTCATCATTTGAAATTCTTTTAGAACAATACTCCTCGCTTTATAATCACACTATTGTTATGGGAGATTTCAATACTTGTCTTCTCAAAAATTATGCTAGAGCATCCCGTCTGAAATCTCTCGTTAATGGCATTAACTTACATATTCTCCCACATTCTGCGACTCATGCTTTTCCAAATTGTGTGCCTTCTCTTCTTGATTTAATACTTGTTTCTTCCATTGACCACGTTGCAAAGCATGGTCAATGCAATGCCTCCGCTTTTTCTTACCATGATCTACTTTACCTGTGCTATAAATTAAAACCTCCTAAAGCTAAGCAAAGGATTCTTCTCCGGCGCAATTTTAGTAGAATGGACCTGGATAAGTTACGAGAAGATACTGCTAAGGTTGACTGGTCAGTAGTTGCGAATGCTGTTGATGAGCAGATATCTATTTTTAACAGCATACTTACACAACTGTATGACATTCACGCTCCAATTCGTACAGTCCGAATGAAGCATCTTCCTGCCCCTTGCTCACTGCCGACATAAAAAAAACTCCAAGAAAAAAAGAACACAGCGAAAACGAAATATCGTATGAATCCTAATGATTCCAACCGAGAGAAATATAACAGGGCACGAAATCGCTACAATATGGTGTGTAGAGATAGTCAACGACGCCATATCTATAAATCTGTTGTTGAGGAAGATAACTCAACTAAAGTTTGGAACTTTCTCAAATCTTTAGGGGTTGGAAAAGCAAAGCGTAATGTAGAATCTCTTAATTTGAATTTAAATAAGCTTAATGCTCAATTCCTCTCTAGCGCCACTATAGACAGTGCTTACTTACTTACTTACTTACTTATCTTCACGCAAAATCCCTGACGGGGTAGCCAGAGAGAACAGATCGCCAAGTGTCACGATCCTTACAAACCTCTTTCGCTTCTTTCAGATTCATTATCTTCTTCATGCATGCACGTCTAGGTATCCGAGTACTTTTGACCCTACCCTCTTCGAGCAATTTGCTCACATGGTCTTCGAAAGTTAGTCTCGGTCTACCTCGACACCTTTTAATATTAACTTTCGCGCTATATATTTTCTTCACCATTCGGTTTTCACTCATTCGCTCAACGTGCCCAAACCACCGAAGCACGCCCTTATCAATTTTTGTGATAAGGTCATCTTTCAAACCTGCCATATTGCGAATCTCTTCGTTTCGCTTTCGGTCGGCCATGGTAACGCCGCACATTTTACGAAGAGATCGCATCTCCACTGCATTCAACTTACTTTTATGCTTCTTCTGGCATACCCAGGTTTCGCTGCCATATAACAAAGTTGGTACCAACACTGCGTTATGTATTGCAAGGCGTGCACTCTTCGCTACGCCTTGCCTTTTTACTAACGCAGTCAGGGCACCATTGACTTTGTTCCCGGCAGCGACACGCCTGTCCACAACTAAATCACATCTTCCATCCCGGCTAAAAGCACTCCCCAAGTATACAATTTCATTTACCTGTTCTAGACATTCCTGATTTACCCATATTTCATACTTCGTTCTCTCTTCGTCCCTTTCAAATACCAGAACCTTAGTTTTATTAGCATTCAAACGGAGACCTTTAGTTTCACATTCCTCTTTCATACACGTGACTAATGCCTGCAGTTCTGCCTCTGATGGTGCTATAAGTACTGCATCATCAGCATACAACAGACAATTTACTTTAATGTCACCCAATTTCACACCCAAACAGCTATCTTTCAGCTTCTGTAAACAGCTGTCGAGATACAGTATGAACACCCAGGAAGACATGACACAACCCTGCTTTACGCCCGTTTGGACGTCAAACATGGGTGACAGGTCATGTCCTACCCGCACACAGGCTTTACAGTCACAGTAAAGAGACTGCACAGCCCTTAGCAATCGACCATCCACACCATACCCCGGCAACAGTTCCCACATTTTCTTCCTTACAACCTTATCAAATGCTTTCTCAAGATCCACAAAAGCACAGAAAATCTTCTGGTTAGCAGCCAGAAGCTTCTCCGTGATCATGCGGAGAGAAAACATATGATCCGTGCATCCTCTTCCAGGTCTAAATCCGCATTGTGCCTCCCATAGAAATCTTTCCGATTTCTCTTGCATCCTACGTGTCAAAACTTTCGAGTAAACTTTACTTGCTAAACTGGTCAAGCTGATCGCCCGATAGCACCCGCAGTCAAAATGTGAACCTTTACCTTTATATAAAGGCACAATGACTGCGGATCGCCAATCATCCGGGACATCCCCCGTCTGCCAGCACAAATTGCACAGCAGATGAAAGCTGTCCCAGACGCGAGGCCCACCATACTTGACCATTTCAGCAGTAACTCTGTCTAGTCCCGCAGCCTTACCACATTTCAAACGTCGAATCGCACGTTCAATCTCTTTCATACTGATGACCTCAGTGTCATCGAGGTCCGGGTCTGGCGTACCAGTCACGGCGTCATCCCCGGATCCCTCACTAAGGTCATCACACGCATACATTTCTCTATAAAATTCGCTCCATCGCTGCATGACGTCCGATTTTTCTGAGAGGACGTCATTAGTTCTCGAAAGCACTTTGTTCATTCTTAAGGCCGTCGCACCACTTCGGGTCCTTCCAACCTCTTTCCAGAAGAGTTTGGAGTTCTCCTTAAAGTTGTGCGACAACCTTTCGTCCGCTTCCATTCTACACCTTTCACGCACTTCCTCAATCAGTGCTTTCGTGTGAACTTTCTGCAGCCTATATCTTTCTTTCATCTTCTCTCTCATATCCTTATCATTACTAGAGGCCAAGTAGTCTAACCATGCTTTCTTCTTCTTCTTTACAGCTTCTTTCACTTCATCATTCCACCATGCATCTCTTCTTTTACTACTGGCTCTTTTTATTGTTCCACACACTTCTTCCGCTGCACTTACCATTCCATCCCTAAGGTTCTGCCAAGTTCTTTCTACACATTCTTTTCTGCCATCGATGGTGTCAAGCTTTTCGGCTACCCTCGCATGATATTTGTCCCTAGTATCCGCTTCCTGAAGCTTCCAGCTTCGGATGCGACAGACCGACTGTGGTTCTGTTACTGCCGTCCGGTAGCGCCAACCCTCGAACAGACCCCTAAATCTAGTAATCACTAGATAGTGATCCGTTCCCAGGTCAGCACCCCTGAACACTCGCGTATCCATCACCTGTTTTCGCAGTCGGTCATCCACCAGGAACAAATCAATCATACTTCTCTCATTCTTTCGTTCTCTAGTATACATATGGATTTTCTTGTGATTAAACATAGTGTTTGTCACAAGAAGACCCTTTTCCTTGCACACCGCCAGTATAAGCTTGCCAGCATCATTAACCCTTTTATCGCCAAACTTTCCAAGTACCGACTCGTACCCTGGTCGAGCGGTACCAACCCATCCATTCAAATCACCACATACAACAATTCTTTCGTTTCCTCTAGCCAAATCTAGAACTTCTCTTACATTCTCCCAAAACTCCTCCAGCTCAGCCCTGGACGACGAAGCTACCGGCGCATAAACAGCCAAAAGGAATAACTTCGTCAGTCCCAATTTAAAGCAAACCCAGAGGAGTCTTGAGTTCACAACCTTATATTCATTCATAACATCGACCAACCGAGAAGACAGCAGCACCCTGGCAGGCGCTCTCGCTCTCCGGGACTCCTGACCATAGAGCTAACGCCCCGCCAGGGAGCTCTTCAGTACCACTGCCCTTCCGTTTGGTCTCCGACATACACACGACATCTAATTCTCTTTCTTTCATTATTTCGATCAACTCATTCGTCTTATCTCTCATGCCTCCTCTAACATTCCACGTGCCAATTCTGCACTCTGTCCTCCACCTTCCGCCGTGTCGGGCTGTGCGTGACGGGTGGCGGTCCCCATCGCCGCTTTGCACGCTGCATTCCACACCAACGGGGACGAGCTGGTGTGCGTCGACTTGGGGGGACGCCCTAACCCTCGTTGGCATGGGTGCGCAGCTAGTAGAATTGCAGCCCTGAAAAGGGCTGGCAGGGGTCGCGACGAGCACGCTTCTACAATGACCCCCAAGTGATATATATATAGACAGTGCTACGAAGAAAAATACACTTGCTCAACTTTCTGCTATATCAACTCCAAATTTTTCCTCTTTTGTCTTTAGCCAAGTTACTGTCAGTGATGTTAAGAAGAATATATTAGCCATTACTTCCGATGCAGTTGGTTCTGACAGCATTAGTCGTAAGATGATTATCCCATTACTCGATCTTTTAGCTCCTATCCTTACACTTATTTTAAATCGTTCCCTTGACACCAGTGTTTTTCCTTCATCCTGGAAAGACAGCCTAGTAACTCCACTCCCTAAAAAATCTAATCCGACATATGAGGATTACCGTCCTATATCCATCCTTTCCTTTCTCTCTAAAGTACTCGAGCGCCTAATATACCTACAGCTGAGCAAATTCTTGTCCAGTCATAACCTTTTGAATTCATTCCAATCTGGTTTCCGTCCCGGTCATAGTACGACTACGGCTTTGGTTAGAATCACTGATGATATTCGCCTGAGCATGGATAATCAACAGGTTACAGTATTGACATTGCTTGACTTTAGTAATGCCTTCAATACTGTAGACTTTGACGTTTTACTCGCTGTCCTAAGTTCTCTTAACATATCTCCTGAAGTAATTGGTTGGTTTCATAGTTACTTGCATGGGCGCCGGCAACGTGTACAAATTCAAGACACGTTTTCTGATTGGTCTGCTGTCAAAGCTGGCGTCCCACAAGGTGGCGTGTTGTCTCCTCTATTGTTCTCTATTTTCATCAATTCGATCTGTTCCCACATAACTTCTCTTTACCACCTATATGCAGACGATTTACAAATCTACTCTCAATGTAAGATTGCGGATCTCCCCAATACAATTAGATTAATTAATGAAGATCTTATTCGTATTTCTCATTGGTGTAATTCATTTGGGCTTAAAGTGGATTAACCATTGAAGACTCAATCCATTATTATTGGGAGTTCAAAATTAATCTCTCGGTTAACTTTGTCGCTGCTTCCGCCAGTCATATTCGAAGGGACACTTATCCCATACAGTGACAAAGTTAAGAATTTAGGTATTATGTTCGATCAGACTTTGTCTTGGGGACCGCAAGTGAGTGAAATAAGTAGAAGAATGTTTGCCGCAGTTGGTTCACTTAGAAGATTACGCAATGTTCTCCCCATTCCTACTAAAGTTGCGCTGGCTCAATCTCTTCTTTTACCGATCCTTGACTACGCGGACACTTGTTACCTTGACCTAACAGTCGAGCAACTTAATAAACTTGAGCGGCTTCAAAATTATTGCATAAGGTTTATATTTGGGTTACGAAAGTATGACCACATATCCGAATTCCGCCATAAGCTCAAGTGGTTACCGATTCGCCTTCGCAGGAATACTCACATTCTTCATCTTCTTTACTGCATTCTGTTCAATCCGACCACTCCTTCTTATTTGAAAGACCGATTTATATATTTAATTAGTTTACACTCTCTACCTCTACGATCTCA